GTATTGCTCCCTTTTAAAATTTTTAATGCATATGTACATCCTGGGAGATGCCAACTAGGTCAAGATATTTAATATGTCCACCACCCCTTTATGGTTCCTTTATGACTTTTCCAGTCTTTCCCTTCCCCTATGTGACACTTTTCTATCATTTTTCATTAATCTTGCCTGTTATTGAAACTCTATGTGTAGAATTAGTGTGTACACCTTTATATGAGGCTTTTTCCATTCAATATATACGTTAGATTTACTAGTAGTTTATTCCATGTGTTGCTGCATAGTATTCCACTACATAAAGTTACTATAATTTACTTATCTGCTCTCCTTTTGATAAGCATTTTTTCTTTTTGGATCTAGAAGCTTTTTAGTTGTACAGTTGTATATTTGTTTAGTTTTTACTCTAGATACTACAATTTGCATTTGTGATGTTGTTTATATAATAAATGTATATTTTGGTTTTCCTCCAGGGTTCCTGGCACTTAGCTCCTAGAACTCTAATACTATCCTAAGTGATAAGTGCATAGGGGCATCTGTTGTAATATTTAGCTTTTATTCCCAGTTCCTGAAGTACCTCCAGAACAATTAAGATGGAATTGTTGTTTTTTTGTTATTTATAACAGGCCCCTTTCGACTACACCTGAGTTTATGCTAATGAGGTGACTTTGGGACTGCCTTAACAGTGAGGCACCTGGTATCAGGAGAACCAACCATGTGACTTAGCCCCACCTCCCAACCCCCAAGGAGGGGTGAGGGGCTGGAGGCTGAATTCCTCACCGATGGCCTAGGGATTTAATCAGTCATGCCTGTATAATGAAACCTTTATAATCCCTGAACTTACAGGATCCAGAGAGCCTCCAGGTTGTTGACACATTAGAGGTACTGGGAGGGTAGTGAGCTCAGAGAGGGCATGAAAATTCTGTACCCCTTTCCCCATCCTTGCCCTGTATGTCGTGTTCCTGAGTTGTATCCTTTCATAAGAAACCATTAACCTAGTAAGTATTTTCCTAAATTCTATGAGCCCCTATATCAAATTATTGACCCCAAAGAGGAGGAGGATGTGGGAACCCTGATTTCTGTCCAACAGCCAGATGCACAGGTGACAATCTGGACTTGCAATTGGTGTCTGATCAGAGTGGGAGTGGTGTTATGGGACTTAAGCCTGGGATCTGACGCTGTAGTGTCAGAATTGAGTTAATTGCTTGGTGTGGGAAGAACTCCCACAAATTTGTGACCAGAATACAGTGTGAGTAGAGTAAAATAGAAGAATTGAGTTTTTCCTCTATAGAATTCTTAAGTTTGTCTGTTTTAAATTAGTGCTTTACCACTTTACAGATAATATAAGAATCTTAAAACTATTTAATTACCCTTTTGCTGTTGTTTTGATATATTTTACTTTTGTGTGTGTCACCGGTTCCAAAATGTGTTACTTGCTGCTCTAAATTCCATTTTCAGCTTTCTTCCTTCCTGCAGTTTTGTGCTTCCATCAGGTGTCATTTTGTAACTATAGTATTTTTTTGTCTGTACTGTTGATAATTTTTCGACCTTTATTTGGAAAATATATTCATTTCAGAAGAATATTTTTGCTGATTTGGAAATTTCTGGTGGCATTTTTCCTAGCTCTTTAAAATGACTTTCCATTTTGATTTTCTCATTTATGCAAATTGCCTATTGAAATTTTTATGCAGTGCCTTCTCACCTTCATAGTTTCTATTGAAGTGTTGGCTGTCAGTTTTGTTATCAAGATGGCCTGCCTTTTCCCCTCTGATTAATTTATAAAATTTCTGTATTAGGGATGGGACTTCTTTGTCAGACATATGTATTCCAAATGTTTTCTCCCTAATCTATGTGTTGCATTTTTATTCTCTTTGTCTTTTGATAAGGATAGGTTCTTAATATTATAGTATTATTAATATAATTTGTGTGCTGGTTAAGAAATCTTTGCCTATCTTGAGGTCATAAAGGTATGACCACTATGGCATTTTCTAAAATTTTTATTATTTTATTTTTCAAATTTAGATCTATATATCATCTAAAGCAGGTTTCTGTTTACACTGAAGATAATAATAAATGCTTATTATAATTAAACTAGCACCATTTATTAAAGTGATTATCCTTCTGTTACCCTTGTCATAAATCGAGTGACATATACGTATGGGTCTGTTTTGGGACTTTTCTTCCATTCTGTTGATAGATCTGAAAATCCTTATGCTTGTATCACACTTAATTGTGGTATATTGGTAATTATACTTGATATATGATATTTCTTCTGGCTTACTTATTTTCTTCAGGATTGTTTTGTCTTTTCTTACCCTTTGCATTTTCACATATTTTAGATTTAGCTTCTCTGGGATTTTGTTTGTTATTGCTATGAATTTGTATGTCAGGATGGAGAGAATTGATACTGTTATAATATTGAGCTTGCCTATCCCGGAATTTGTTGTATCCCTCCATTTATTCGGGTCTTCTTATTTTTCCTTCATTATGTTTTGTAGTTTTCTTTGTAAGAGATTTTCATAGTTTTCATTCTATCATTAGTTGTACCTTTAAAAATTTTAATTTTCTGAAATTTGTTATATTGAACTTGTATCCAGTTTCTAAAACTTTTGTTTTGGATACTTTTGTTTGGATTTTCTGTGTATATGATTGCTTTGCTATATTACTCTAAGAACTTTGAAAAAATGTTGGATGAAATTGGAGATAGCCGGCTTCCTTATCTTTATCCTAGTTTTAAGTTGAACACTTTCCATATTTCACTATTAAGTGTGAAATTTGCTGGAGGTATTTGTAAAAATCCTTTATCACACTGGGGAAATTCCTTTCTATTTCCAGTTTGCCAGGAGTTTTTATTTTAATCATGCTTTTCTGTTATCTTCTGAGTTGGTCATGTCATCATCTCTTAGTTTTTAAAACTATTCTTTCCTATATTTATATTGCCACCTTTCAGAAAAGTCATTGATAATATTCATGACTTAATTTTTCTCTGTAAGCTAGTTAAGAAGTGTTTTTTTCTCAGCTTTCATTCTTGGTTATTTTCACTCTCAGTGTTCTGAAAGCCTTCTGATTCATTTTCAATGACTTCAAACACTGCTGAACTATTAATGTCTACTAAATCCTTATTTTCACACTAGACCTCAGTGTTATGCTTCAAATTTATTATAGTTAAGACATATCTTGCTAAAATACAGTGCCAAATCTATTTTCTCCTCATGTTCCTGGCTAACTTTGCAACTCTGGTATATGTATATTCATACATATACCCTATGGAAACACATCCTTTTGGCCAGTGAATTGGTGACCACATTCTGTTGCTGTCTGTTTCCTTTTATCAGTGCCCTGTTTGCATCCCAGTTTCTACCTGAGGAGTTTATGTAAGTGGTGTTGTTTGGTCTTTTAACTTTCCCTTCTTTTTGAAGGAAGAGAATTGGTTCTGAAATAAAAACCTGGTCACATAATTTCAGTATATCCTCAGATCTCTTCTTTGGCTCCTCTTTCTCTGCAACAGTGATTCCTAAAATAGAAGCATGCACTCTGATGATACCAAAAATAATTGAGTATCTTCTCTTATATATGTTCTACAGACATGCCAATATGATAGTTCTAAAATCTTTCCTGTCTCATTTTCTGCACATCCTCATTATTGTCTCTGAATTGAAGGATTAGAACCTAGACTATGTATTGTAGTGAAATAAAATATTAGGCTGTTTTCCTATATTTTTGAAATCTAAGGATAAAACTAAGATTCATAATAAATTTATTGTTTATTTCTATAATTTATAAATATAAACTTCTTTAGTGCTCAAAAATATTCTCTAAGGTGGAAAGTGATCACACAGTTTGCAGACTGTTGGTCTAAAGTTACTCCGTAATCTATTCCTTGAATATCTCCATGGTCCTTTT